AAAATACAATCCAGCTGCGCATGGCAGGGCAGTGACACATACTCCAGCTGCGCTCAGCAGAGCAGTAAAATACAAGCTAGTTGCACACAGAGGAGAAAGAAATAAGTGTTTATGATAGTTTTCCAGAAGCAGGGTGGTTGCTTCTATCCAAGCAAACATGGGTTTATTCTTATCACTTAAGTACTTAATGCAACAAAGCTGAAGAACTTGGAAATATCCTCATGCCAAGTGCTACCACTACAGAAGCCTCTCATCTAAAAGGAGTCATAAAATGAAGAAAAAAACGAATCCCCTGGTTCTGTATCTGTTGATGAGCATGATGCACTACCCACCTCAACCACAAGGTGGGGCCATATATCACTACAATATGGAGGGAGCATTACTGTCTGTTTTAATTTTAATGGGACGTTGTTCTTAAGATAGAAATAACCCCATTCCCCAGTGGGCATGTGGTTAAACTTATTGACAAAAAAAGGCGCTTTATTTTAACGATACCCTTTCTTTTTTTTCATTGTTTTCGTAAAACTACCACCATCTGAAGTGAAGCACGTCTTCTGGTTTAAAAAGGCAGAACCAGCTGGATTGTAACACGAGCTGGTGCACAGTGCCCCCTGCTGTCCGTGACCGAGCACTGCACCGCCTCTGTACCGGGTCTCTCAGCTGATGAACCCAGGCTCCTCTCCCTCGCCGGTCTCCACTGCTTCGGCTCACTTGCTGATTTGGTCTCATTGTTTCTGATTTAGTTTTTTTGAAGCCCCAGTGGTGACGAGCCTGAAACAGAAATTAGAAGTCATTATTCTGTGCACTAATCTGGGGATTCGATTTCATAAGAAACGTCATGCGCCTTGTTTTTTAAGACCCTTCATTCATCTTCAATAAAACGCCTTTTGAATTTTTTTCCAGTGGTGGGAACGCTGATCTAACCGTTAATAACCGTTGCATTTTGGAAGTGAAATTCCCAAACCTGTGATTAGATGCAAAATGGAGATATTCCAACGAAGCAGAGTCTTGGGTCAATCAAGGCTTCAGTTATGCAGTGAAGGTGGGGTGGAATAAAGAGCAGCAGGTGTGAGGCTCACCAGGACCAGCACTGGGCACCACTGCCTTACAGGAAGGCCCTGGCGTGGCTCAGGTTGCTCAGCAGTGCGGGACGGTGCTTTAGGGCCCTTCAGAGTCGTTGTCGTGTTGGTGGAGTCCTGTACCTCTGTCCTGCAGACCCCTGAGCTGGAGCAGTCCATGGAGGAGGGGGACGGTGTGGCTGAGCTCGAACCCGAGTTCAATGAGGACCAGCCCGAAGCAGACAAGCCTGCTAATCCTGCACAGGTAATGAAACATTTTATGGGTATACATAGCATTTGTTCTAATTGACCTATGTGCTCAGTAGACATTTATTTGAGTATATTTTAGGGAGGGAGTTTATGAAGTATATATATATGTATTATATGTTTATAAGCCTTCATATATACTGTACATGTAATGACAGACATAAACACTTAACAAATGAGTATTGGAATTGATGGCATTAGTTGCATTTCAGTATATACAATGTATTTACAAACATTCTTTCCAGTCTTTGCTGTCGATATTCAGAGACCCAGAGAAAAAGTTGAATTGAACCAGGACCAGAGGAAACCATGTGGAAGTGCTGTTAAAATCAAGAACGGGAGGCGCTTCTTTACACAAAGGGCTGTGGGATCCCGACCCAGCTGCACAGCCATGTTGTTGAAGCCAGTACCTTGGCTTCTTCCAAGAAGAAGTGTTGTGCCGCTGTGTTGATGAGGTCCTTGGTTTACTAAGCTGCTGTCTGCCAGACGGACCGAACGGCCTGCACTCCTTTGAATCTTTTCTTACGGTCTCACGTCTTCCTCCCACTCCTGCCTGCCCGCCAGCCTGTGTTTAACCTGGCAGAGTATCACCAGCTGTTCGTAGGCACGGAGAGGCTGCGTGTGCCGGAGATCCTGTTCCAGCCCTCCGTCATCGGGGAGGAGCAGATGGGCGTCATGGAGACCCTGCAGTACATCTTGGACAGGTGGGCAAGTGCATGCATCCTCCCCCCCCCCCCCAGCAGCTCTCAGCGGCGGCCTGCCGCAGCCGCAGGGCTGCGTCGCACTGCGCTGCGCGCACACAAGCGTGTTCCTTTGTGCTGGCTCGGCGCAGCTCACAGGGGCTCTCCGGTGTGCCGGCTCCGTGTTACACACACACACACGCATGCACGCATGCACGCTGTCCCGCGCTGCCTCTGGGCTGCAGACGCACAAGCCTTGCCTGCGTGCACAAACGCGCTGTCACATGCAGACTTGCAGCATTCAAGGTTTTTTTTCCCAAGGTTTTTGCTCCCAGCGGGGAAAAAAACTGTTCACAGGTCCCTGATTGTCCACCTAACGGGATGCAAACTAAGCAAATCGAAGGAAAATGCATGTTTTGCATCTTTACTGTACTGGGGAGATAGAGATGTAAGTGCAGTAGATATAGACATAGAAAAAGCAAAGTGTTACCATGGCTGCAAAGTCCTTCTGTCATCTTACTCTGATGACTTTGTAATTTTTTTTTAGCTCAGGGCTTTTGCTTGTCATGTATGGGGCAGGTGGTTCTGTGCTCTCTGGGGACTGGTGCTTTTTATGAGGGGTAGGAGGGAACAGGATCAACAAACCAACCGTGAGTCACTGTCATTAAGGAAGAGTAGCAGTCCTCTTAATGCACAGAATTACATTTATATAAACACTGATTTAAAGGGAAATGCAAATGAGATAAATATAAATTTAACAAACTTAAATACAAATTTAAATACAAAAAGCCAAACGAAGAGCCTGACGGCACGCCCCACCAAGCAGTGCCCTCACGTCGTCCTCAATCAGCTGTGGTGGTTTTTCGGGTGCAGGT